CTGACACACCACCACCACGTCAGAGTTACTGCAGTGCTGAGAATGATCCACCACCTAAATAGTACCTGCTCTGTGAGGGTCCATGGGGGTCCTGACCACTGAAGGACAGGGTAACAAAGTATCAGAGAAACAGATGGACTACAGTCTGTAACTGTAGAACTACAAAGTGCACCTATATAGTAAGTGGAGCTGATAAAATGGACAGTGAGTGTAGAAACACGGAGGTGGATTTAATGAAGTGCTTAGTGTCTGGTCTGATCCGTGTTTTCCTTCAGGCAGGATTAAAAACAGGGAAAGTGTTTTTATATAAGTGTAAAAGTATCTGTAGAGCTGCTCTCACTGTTTGAACAGAGTTTGTGTTCCACAGTTATATTCAGCTTATGTGGATAATTATGTACTTTTCTTTCTGTGGACGGCGTAGACGGCGTGTGACCAGCGTCGAGGAAAAGCCACTGAGAGCCGTTTGCGCTAAATAACGCTCCAAATGAGCTCATTACACCAGCGTCTCCTGCACTCTTCAATATTTGCACAGCCGGTGTGTAAACGGGCTGTTCACAAAGTGTCAAAATAAAGCTGCCCAAGAACAAATAACCAGCAGCAGACTGAGACTACAGAGAAACTAAAGGGCTGCGAAAGAAACTAAGTTTAGAAGGATAGACTTGTAGCAGGCTGTGTTTTCTGTCCTGAATACGCTGTAAATTGAAATGTCTGGCATTTATTCATCCCTGATTTATCAGTCTTTTATTAGTGAGCACCAAATGCACCAGCGGAGATTTGAGTTTGAAATAAAAGGGGAAAATTCATGAATGAGCTTCATGAAAGGCGGGTAACAATGATTGGAGAGTTAAAGCATTTGTAGATAATTAGCCATGTTTACATGCAGCCTAATAATCTGTTAATAATCTGACTAACAGCTCAATCGGAATAGAATACGTCCATGTAAACACCTCACTCGGAATAGTCTAGTCTGATTGAGGTCATTCGGAATACAGTTTCTATCCGACTGATCGAGGTGGGTAATCCTGTAAATAATCAGTTAAATAGAAGAATAATATCCGTGTAAACGCCTGTATCTGATTACATTCCCTATCGGAAAGTTTAAAGTCCGTTCTGATCATGTTCGTCACGTCATAGTGAAAGTTTATACTGTTCAACATGGCGGAGCAGAAACTGGTCTGCAGAGGTGACGAAGTTTATGCTCTGATCTTTAAAAGACGGCGGTGGGACGGACGTCCAGCTTATGTGTCTCAGAACACGACGTCTTCCTCTCGGCCTTCTTTAATAAGGACATGTGAAGGACGTTTTCCTGAGTCTGACATCATTTTAAAGCAGTTAAAAACACAAGCACTGCTCACTGCTGCTCATCTCACTCTGACTGGACTCACGTGATGCTGGTTGTCATGGTGACGTCTACACTAAGCAGTTCTATACGCATGAGTGTCATGTTGGATCTGATTACTTGTAGTTGGCCTGTAAACAGAGATTTCCATCAGATTGTTGAGTAGAGTGAGAATAAACACCTCAGTCTGAATCTGTAATCAGAATGTACTCAATCAGACTGGCAAAAGTCTCTGCATGTAAACAGAGACACTGTTGATTGTTTTTGGTTCTTCAACGGTTCTTCAGTGCTGTAGATGGTTCTATACAGAATTGTTTTTAAAAGGGTGCTATAGAGAACCCTTTTTAAAACGGTTCTGTATAGCACCAAAAAGGGTTCTTCCACTGTTACAATGTCAAGCTTGTTACAATAGAAGAACCCTTTTGGTGCTATACAGAACCCTTTTCCTAAAGGCTCTATATAGAATCATCTACAGCACATTCTCCATCTTTCTGAAGAACCCTTTCACCATACAAAGAACCCACGCAAAGGGTTCTTTGAGTATTCATGGTTCTATCTAGAACCATTTTCCTCACAGAAGAACTGTTGAAGAACCATCTCTCTTTTTTTTTTACTAGATTGTTTTTTTACTATATCGCCCACCTCTAATGTTAAAAGTTGGTAGGCCATTACTGTGGTATCCCAGGTGGTTGCTAAGGAGTTGAAAGGCCGTGGCTATGTTATCCTAAGTGGTTGTTAAGGGGATGCTAGGCCATTGCTATGGTGTCACAGGTGGTTGCTGAGGCGTTACTAGGCCGTTGCTGTGATATCCCAGGTGGTCGGTAAGGTGATGCTAGGTCTTTGCTATGTTATTCCAGGTGGTTGCTAAGGTGTGGCCAGGCCATTGCTGTGGTATCCCAGATGGTTGCTAAGGTGTTGATAGGCTGTTGCTGTGTTATCCCAGGTGGTCGGTAAGGTGATGCTAGGTCTTTGCTATGTTATTCCAGGTGGTTGCTAAGGTGTTGCTAGGCCATTGCTGTGGTATCCCAGATGGTTGCTAAGGTGTTGATAAGCCATCAAAGGTTCAAAGTGGAGAGTGAATACACCCCAGTGGCCTCTTGTAATATTTACAGTGTCAGGGTTTTGACTGTATTGGACCTTTTACTGCATGCAGAGGGAGTAAACTCAGAGCCTCTATGAAGTAATGCAGGCAACCGTGTGACATGTGGACCAGCTGCAATCAGAGTGGGCTCTCAGAACAAACAGCAAGGTGATCAGGAGTTCTGTCCAGCTTCCAGCACTCACCACTCCATACAGACGCAAACCACTGCATCGTTTTGGCCAAAAAGACCTTCAAAACATCTCATCTGTCTGAAGTTTCCTGTCAGCTTTAATGCGTTTCACAACTTTTTTACATTCTAAGTTCTTCCGTGCGTTTCAGTGTAAGTGTCTTGGTTTACTGCCCCTGTATGCATTGCAGGCGTTCCATTGTTGCATGCTGTTGCCATATGGCAACAAAATGCAAAGTACCCCCCCACACAAATATTTTTCTTTTTTCCTTAATTTAGTAATATTTGTATTAGTTATATGTTCGTTTTTTCGTAATTCATGCCTCGAAGGGCTAAAAAAGGAACCAGCTTCAGAAAGAAAGCTGTGGTTTTTGTATTGTGTCTGGAGCTGGAATTCGATTTGCTGAGCTGCGTAACTGCGTTTGTATTGCAATTGAAAAACGCAGCCGAATGAACAGGCAGGTAATCATATTTGCACAATTCACCATTTATTCGTGTGAAGGTGGAGGGAGGCTGGACGAGGCTGATGGATGTGAGCGTGTTCTGCACACGTTTTTCATAAAACGCTGATGAGAATCACCTTCATGCTCGATTTCAGCTCCGCATTTATGCTGTCAGCGGCGGTTGACTGGTCAGTCACTCTTCTTCAGGGGGCTAACAGCGGTGCGGCTCTGGCGGGTCGCCGCCGTTTACACGCTCCCGCGTCCGCTTCTGCAGCCGTTCCGCCGCTCTGATATTCCATTACGGCTCGTCTCGGGCGCTTTTTGTATTAATTTTGGTGTTTGTTCGCATCTGAGGTGAGCAGTAAGCACATGGTCTCTCTGCTGTTCTGTCACACTTTATTAATATCACAGGTCCAATAGGCCAAAATCCAAACAAATGTTCTTCTACTTCATCTAAACAGAGACCAGGAGTCTTAATCCCTGACCCTGATGATGTGATTTGATTTGACACAGTAGTGGATACACAGAAAATGTGTACTATGGTTTCACTACACCCACTACTATGGTTTCACTACACCCATTACTATGGTTACACTACACCCACTACTATGGTTTCACTACACCCATTACTATGGTTACACTACACCCATTACTATGGTTACACTACACCCATTACTATGGTTACATTACACCCATTACTATGGTTTCACTACACCCATTACTATGGTTACACTACACCCACTACTATGGTTTCACTACACCCATTACTATGGTTACACTACACCCATTACTATGGTTACACTACACCCATTACTATGGTTACACTACACCCATTACTATGGTTACACTACACCCATTACTATGTTTACACTGCACCCACTACTATGGTTACACTACACCCATTACTATGTTTACACTGCACCCATTACTATGGTTACACTACACCCACTACTATGGTTACACAACCCTGATTTCCATTGTTACGCTACATCCATCTCCACACCAAACCTCTTACTTGGTCAGGACCTGCCTGCGTAGCTTAAGAATAACCTATGTAGTCTATGTAGGTACTAAATAATATGAATAATGAATCAGCTGTGTAAGATAGGAAAGTGAAGACCCATGAGGCAGCAGGTCTGAGTCTGTGAAGAGAGTTACTCTGTTTAAAAAGACACGTTTCCTTTGAGCTGCTCTGAAAACACTCCTACACAGCGCTGTGTAGGCTTTACCACAACAAAAGCCTTCATCAGTCAGTCAGTGGAAAGGGAACGTGGCGTGGACTGGCTGGAACACAGCTACAGTAACAGCGAATGCAGCACCAGCCAAACGCTCCAACATATCTGGCCGAGTGGCGGTTCTGAATTTTTTTTCTCTATACTCAGTGTATCAATTGTAAAATCTTATTCCTGACAAAGTAATGTGTGTAGACTAACCATAGTAGTGGGTGTAGTGTAACCATAGTAATGGGTGTAGAGTAACTATAGTAATGAGTGTAGTGTAACCATAGTAATGGGTGCAGTGTAAACATAGTAATGGGTGTAGAGTAACTATAGTAATGGGTGTAGCGTAACCATAGTAATGGGTGTAGAGTAACCATAGTAATGGGTGTAGTGTAACCATAGTAATGGGTGTAGAGTAACCATAGTAATGGGTGTAGCGTAACCATAGTGATGAGTGTAGTGTAACCATAGTAATGGGTGTAGCGTAACTATAGTAGTGTATTATATATTATAACTGTATTATGACTGCAGGGCTGTAATAGTAGAGCTGCACTGTTTACAGATTTCACACTAGATCACTTTAAACATGGAGAGACAAAACTGTTTTTTAAAAGAGGAAACTGTACCTGTATTTTTCACTGTATTACTGTGTCACTGTATTATTATCATTATCAACACAAACATGTGGTTCAGACTGGTGTTTTCTGTTGTCTCTTTTTCTCTCCTTTAGTATCCATGGCAAGCCCAATCAGACAGACCCCAGCATGGGGCCCAAGCCAGGGGGGCCTGGGGGTCCGGGAGGAGCGGGGCCAGGGCCCGGAGCCCCCCAGCAGCCCCCGGGTTCCGCTCAGGGCCACGTGGCCCGGAAGAACCTGCAGGTGGACGTGGGCAGCAGTAAAAGTGGGCGTTCTCCGTCAGCGTCGCCGGACAGAAGCAGCGCCCCTCCCTCGCCCTACGCCCTGCCGCAGATCGCCCCCATGCCCAGCAGCAAGCTCTGCCCCGTCTGCAAAACGGCCGATCTGACGGGCAGCACGGACGGGCAGCCCAACTCCAACACCTGCACCCAGTGCCGATCTACCGTGTGTAACCAGTGCGGATTCAACCCCAACCCGCACCTCACTGAG